GGTTCTATGAGGGCAGAACCTTCCATTTCTCCTTTGCTTAATGTTTACTCTGAATCCCATTTATCTTCAAAACAAAGAAACAGACAGTCCTTTCTCCAGCACGGTTGTAATTGTCGAGGTTCACTAATGGATGCGTCTTCACTCAGAACTTGGGTTTGCCTTCCTTGACTGCGGTCATCATCCCACCACCCACACCGGCAGTGGGAAATCTATTCAGCTGCCCTTTAATATCCTGAATCCATGTGACATTCAGATTTTTGGCTCCTGTTCAGTCAGCAGAGTTGATCACTGCTCCTATTAGAAGACCCTGGAAAATTCAAAATATTATGCCAGTCCAGCCACCACATCCTCACTTCAACATCTTGGATGCCAGAAAAGGAGAGAAAAGAAGTAGCTACAAAGGACGGCGGGATATCCAATTGTAATTTTTTTTAAGCCTGGGTGATTCTAATATATGTTCAGGGCTAAAAACCACTAATTGACCATAATCGAAGGAAGCATTTCGAGCTCTATAATCCTACTGTGAAAGCATCTCATGCTGACTCAGAAAAAAACAAACTACCACACAACTACAGATATCACCTTCAAGGGTTTTTTGGTCTGTTTTTAATGCATTCAAGCCTAGCAGAGTTGAATGATTTTATTTCCTTTAGAAAATATGCATCTATCTTCTAAGTATGTATGAAATAAAAGTGGATGGTTTCACCACTGCTTAGTCTAAATAAGACACATTCCCTGCCTTAAGCAGCCCACCTCAAAACTTTATGGAGAGCAATTTGAAGATAGTGATCTAAAACATTAATAAAGTCAGACAGCAGAGTACTCTAATTGTTCCAGAAAAACAACAGAATAGTTCAGACTATGATTGAGGAAAGCAGCTCCATTAGAGCCAGGTGGCTGATAAACCTCATCGATGGAGGTTTTAGACAGGAGTCTGACAGAAAGAAATTTTGTCTGTCAATAACAGTAAGCAGACCTGACCCTTGAATAGGGAGCAATTTTTCTATCGGATAAACGATAAGCAGCCAAGTAACAAGATAATTTACGTAACATCACCTACGTTTTTGAGCAAAAAGATCAATCTCTGCCATTGCAGTTGTACCTGGTAGTCTTGCTAGCTGGAGCTGTGCAAGAAGCAGGCAATAAAGATCGGCCCTCAGGTCTGTTCCTAAGGTACAAGGAATAGGGACAACAGCTCCATGGATAAAAGATACACCAGGGCCACATCAAAGAGAACTAGCTGAAAGTCTATCACACAGCAAAGCCCCAGGAGATGTCTCATAGCCATAGGTCCAAAGGAAGGATGCCTCAGGATAATGCAGTACTTACAAAAGTATTCAGAAAGTAATTATGGATGTGTGTTTCTTGTGTACGTATGTATATACACCTTTCACAGTATTTTCTCCTAACGTTCTTTGCCGAGCTTGTTGAGGGGACCATCAGTTCTTCAGGATTACCGTGATCCTCGAGCTGATGTGGCCAGATGTATATGACTCTTTCAAGAAGTATACACTCCTTGTTACAAAAGAATCTTTGCAGCCCTTCTAGGGGAAGTTATCAACAGATTTCCCAAGGAACTGAAAGCTTATGAAGAAATGGAGGTCAGAAGAATAGGTCATTCCAGTTGGACCCAGTCATTACATCAACTCAATTAAATCTGAAAATGTATTCTTTTTGTGTCTAATAGAGTAGGCACCTGAAGAGCTTGATTATCTAATCACTGAAGGACCTCCAAGTGTCCTCCCCATTGAATTTATAAACCGTTGGAAACACAATGCCTAACAGTAAGGTGGAGGACACAAAAGAGAATACAACATACGGCGCAGGGATGATACACAAAAGGGACACCCCTTCTGGCGTCTGGACTCCGTCAGTCCTTGCTGGTGGCAGGAATATAGTGGGGGGAGGCGGTGGCAGGAAGAGGTTAGGAGTCTGCAACATTTTATTTTAGTCTTATTTATCAACAGTCACTGATACTACTACTGAAGATGCTCAACAATCACTCAAAAGGTATTCTTTCAAATGCCAAGTTTCCATCAACTGATAAATTAATAAACAAAATGTGGTGTATTCATACAACAGAATATTATTCAGCCAGAAAAAGAATGAAGTATTCATACATGCTACAACGTGGGTGAACTTTGAAAACATTATGCTGAGTGAAAGAAGCCAGACACAACACAGACACAATAAGCCACATGTTACATGGTTCCATTTATACGAAATGTCCAGAATAGGCAAATTCATAGAGACAGAAAGCAGATCAGCGTCGCCAAGGGCTGGAGTGAGGGGAGGAATAGGGCATTACTGCTAATGGGTACAGGGTTTCTTTTTAGGGTGATGAAAATATTCTGGAATTACTGGCGATAGTTGTACAGCCTTTGAATATACTAAAAACCACTGTATTGTACACTTTAAAATGGTGAATTTTATGGTATGTGAATTATATCTCAATTTTTGAAAAAGCCATTCTTTAGTTCAGCATTTCTACTGCCCCTTAGGTCTCCCAGTGCCCAACAGAGGGCCTGCTTCCCAGGACTCCCAGTGTGCTTTCCTTCAATGTTGTCCTACTTATGAGATCAAGAGGAGGTGATGTCAAAGCAAGACTTAAGTGATCATACTGTTTTTGTTCCATCACATATTGGAGGGAAAAGGTAAAATGTAAAATCAGAATTTCTAGTGCAATCTTTGGCCACTCAGGTGAAGGCAATCCATGATGCTCCTACTGTGACAAAAGCGGGTTGTCGGATTATCCTGGGGTAAGAGATACCATGCTTTTGTTTTTTAAAGGACAATTCTTGCTGAGCTACTTCTTTACCTGCTACATGATGAACTGCCAACATTAAGGTATTCATAGCATTTCAAATACTCCTGAGCCTTTGGCTAATACACTTTGAAGAAGATAAACCATTAATTCTTATCAAGGTTCATTCATCTTATAATACAGGAACTGTGCTCAGATACAAAATGACAGATGGTCCTAGAGTACCAATAGTTGATCATTCAAAATAATTAGTTCTGATAAAAAAATGTCTTTTGGTACCTTTTTGTTACACCATTAACTATGTCACCATGTGTGCAGTGCTGAAATCTTTTGTTCGATATACAAAATAGAACACTCCTTCATAAGTCTGGAAGAAGAATAAATACTGATTGACTTAAGTACCTGCCACTATTGATCCTAGATTGTTACCTTACGCTCCCTTGGAGTTACTAAATAGTCCATGTCTGACCTTATTGTTTAACAGGGGGAAAATGCTTAAGAATTCAATGCATCCACCATTTATCAACATGAGGTATCATCTCATAAACCACGTCTTAGGAGGAAATTGTAGGGCCGGCCCTGTGGCTTGGTGGTTAAGTGCGCGCGCTGCAATGCTGGTGGCCCGGGTTCGGATCCCGGGTGCGCATTGAGGCACCACTTCTCTGTCCATCCTGAGGCCGAGTCCCACATACAGCAACTAGAAGGATGTGCAGCTGTGACATACAACTATCTACTGGGGCTTTGGGGGGAAAAAAAAAAAAAAAAAAAAAAAAAAAAATCTTTAAGGAGGAAATTGTAATTCCACAGAGGGTGGTCATCATGTTACCTTGGTCACACCACATGTAGCACATCTGGGAACAAGTATAAAAGCACCAAGTAGAGGAATATCGGAGTGTAGGTTTAAACAGCATCTCTAGGACCAGAGCTTGGTGTGTGTGTATGTGTGTTTTGAGAATTTTAAGGAGAACAGGAGGCGACAAGGGTGTCCTGTCATTGTGAGCTCTTTCACTTTCTATGAAATGACACTTTAAAAGGAGTCAAAGAAAGCCATGGTAACAATGGTCTTTGAGTAGATATAACCCGTAAGGCTCAGATAACAAACCTGGAATACTGGCTCTTAAGTTCTCTATCAGCTCAAATGTCACAGACATCAAAAAGGAATTTCCAGATTCAGGCATAAATAATCACAAATCTATTATAAATGAGTACCATATAGCTTATTCAAGATTACGCACACAAAGAGAAACATAAATAAAATCTCCAGAGATCATATGCTGTAAGAATTAAATTACTTGTAAACAAAATCATACAATTAAACCCATCATTATACATTTGTGGGACTTAGATTAACAAGTGACATAGTTTACAAGAACACAATGCCATCTACAACGTATGTCCCTTAGATGGTGTATTACTCAGATCAGAAAACTAAGCATAACCCACCTTAATGTTGACCCTAGTTCAGAGGCAAATGTGGCAAGTCTAAAGTCCTCAAATAGTTCAAAGACCCAATTTCAGCCAATAGTTTACTTTTCCATCAGTGATTTACCAAAATTACTTATCAGAAGCACAAGTGACATACCAGAGTTTCCTCTCTTCCCCATGTATTCTCGTTTGGGGACACTAATACAGAAGGGTAACTAGAGAAACAGACCTAGAAAACCACAAACTATACAATATTATATAATCATACTGTATATGCATCTACTGTAGAAAGAAAAATAAAAAATAAACACACAAAAACATACATAACGACTCCTAAAATGTCTCAAGTACGATAAGGAAGATTGAACTCCTGTATAAAAGAGACTCCTGGGGTATATTTTAAATATGTTTTCTCAAAACATTAGTCAAGAACCCTTTACTCCCAAACGTGGGCCTCTGCATTTTCTAAGAAAAATGCAAGTCAACACAATGCTCTACAGTGTAATTTAAATAACGCATCATTGCCTTCCAGTGCTTTTCTGAGGCAAGCATTTGAGCAGGTAAGCAGGTACTCCTAACAACTGAACAGCTTTCACTGTATTATAACCTAATTATGTGAAAAACACCATACTTTGAACAAACTAATTTCACTGCTAAAGGAGAGGCTGGATAAATCTAGTTGTCACTGAATAGCAAGATCTATGGACTTCCTTTATTTGTTTCCCTAACAACCACACTTTTTTTTTTTACCTAACTAGGCAGAGGATGATAATTAGCAGCTATTGTTATGCTATAATTGAAGACCAAATACCTTAGTTGCTTCAAGAACTCAACATCAGAGTTGCTGTTAATAAGCTTGATGAACTCTTCATAAGAAGGAGCGTAGGTGTAGGCTCTCTTATGATGTTCATTCATCTGTTCTCTGTGCTCCAGCTGGGCAAGCAGCATCTGGTTAATATAGTCTGGATTACTTAGCAACTCCACTACTGGCTTCAAGACTGTGGGAAGGAGAAGAAAGCACCACTTGGAAAGGTATTCTCCTTTAAAGTAATTGTTTTTATGTCATATAATTGAAACTACATTTGGGAAACATTTTTAAACTACCCAAATGGGACACACACACACACACCCAGCCGCCTATCCCTCTGGGTGTGCTACCTACTATGGCTATAAGCAAGTGGTTGTTTTAACAAATGAGTTAAACGTAAAGGAACAACGAAAGAAAGTCATTTGGAACCCAAGCTGCTAACAAAGCTATGGAAATTAAGTATACTGATTTTTCTCTTTTATTTCTTTTATAAGGCTCAAAATCTTTTGTCTGCAGAAAATTGACATTCTCCCCATTGGTGAAACCTGACCTTAGGGAGGAAGTTGTTCAAGTCAATAACACTATTACAAATTCATCCTAAAATCTTCCCCTTTTCTCTGTGGTTGGCTGTATCAGCTAATGGGCTCAGCTGGCTAATCCTGAGATAATGCGATATTCAATCAATGCGTATCAGAAGCAATGTTATTTGTTTGAGACTCCGAGATAGGAAAAGTTTCTCTTAGATCATATTTTCTTCCCCGTTTCTTACCCTGGCTAAGCATTTCCCTGGATATACTCTGTTCTAGTAATCACATTACATTGTGTACAGTTCCTTTTTCATTTATTCCAAGTTCACAAAATTATGTATAGGCATTATCAATGAATCTTGTAGCAAAAGTATTTTAAGTAAGTGCACATTGGAGTTTGAGTCCAGATAGTCTTTCTTTAATGCATATATTATCGGCCTAGGATAACTCAAAAGCTATCCGAAACGGATGCTTCCCTATGGAGAGCATGAGGACTGGTTATATGTTATAAACAGAATGGACTATGCATTTGGCAATATGTTATATAAAAAAATGTGTTTATCATGTATGGCCAAATGATGCCTTGTTTGAGTGACATTTAGATTTTATTTATTTATTTATTTATTTTCCCCCAAAGCCCCAGTAGATAGTTGTATGTCACAGCTGCACATCCTTCTAGTTGCTGTATGTGGGACGCGGCCTCAGCGTGGCCGG